TAAGAACTACCTCCATCATCGGCTCTACCTCAGCACGATATGGACTTCTTTCTTTAATTCAGTGATCTCCTTAAGAAATGCCTACATCCTCGACTCCGTCTTAGCCTGCTTTACCTTAGAGGCTTCAATGGCTTCATTGGCTGAAGATGCCTAGCCTTTGCTTTATTCAAAGCTGCCTCAGCATCCTTAGCCCTTTGGAGGTGCTCATTATTGAGGCCTTGGAGCCGCCTCATCTCCATCTGGGCATTTCAAAAAAATCCCTGAGAGCGAGCTTGCAAGGCGAGCCCGGCCTCCACCATATCAACTACATCACAGGTTTCGACATACGAGGAGTACTTATCAGTCCAGTACTTCTGCTGAATCCTCCCAGCCCCCTGGACCTCACCAGGAAGCATCTCCATTACCTTGGAGGATATCTCGTCAGACCTCCCACCCAAAAAGTTTAGGGTCTTTCCTTTAGAGGGGGCACTCCTGGCATCCCTGCCCCGCTTCTTCCTCACTAGGCTCGCCCCCTCCTCAGCCACCTCGTCCACGTCAACGATTTTCACCGAGGAAATAGGCTCAAATTGAATGGGTCATCGAAGTGACTCCACAAGGGTTATTGGTGTATTAGGAGAGAATTAGGCTCAGTATTCTTTGTCAAAACCAACATTCTCTTTTGGAGCCTCTCCTCAGGGTCGGCACAAACATTTTAATGTTATCAGGGATTCTATATATCTCTCTAAAGGTTTCTAGCTCACTCTCCTTTATATATGTCGCCCACAAAGAGCTTTCCCATCTAATATTATAGTCTATAGGGCCCTCCAACATCATCCATGCACTATGACGGCCCTCCATGGCCTCTATGATTCTCTCAGTGGTAATCACATGAGGCAAACTCACCTCAGCACCAATTAGTGTCATATTTACTTCAGAAGACCCCCAGACACATTCATTTTCGATGAAGAAGCCATTTTAAGTAAATAAGTTGAAAATTTTGAAATTGTTGGATACTTACGCAAGTTTTAGATGCTTGGAAAAGGAGAAAACGGAGTTGTTTGTCAAAAAAGGGATTGATAAGGTGCTGAAAGATTTTCAACACTTGGAATTTTGAACTTTCACAAAGTGAAGAAAAAAGTGAAAGTAGGGTTTGGAACTTTTATATATTCAGGATGAACGAACCCCCACTGTTGGATTTTCTCCCACTATGATCTAGGACGTACTTCTGCAATTTTATCCAACACGTCAAAAGCAAAAGGCGATTGTTCAAAATTCAAATCAAGGGCTCAGATGAAGTCATGAATTACACGCGCCTTAGATTCAAGTGAGCCTCGCCAATTGTAAGAAACCATCATCGTCGTGCATTAAATGCGCACGTAATACAAGCCTTGGAAACCGCCATACCACGAGTTGTTTTTCATTGGAAACTAACATTTTTTTCAAATCATTAGAGCATGCCACCCAATGTGCTTCAACATTAACACAAAGGCTCGACCTTTGCTCCAAGGGCTTCGCCTCGTGCTGTTCAGCCTTATCACATGCGTCAATTTAATCATAGAGGCTCAACATTTGCTCTAAGGGCCTTGCCTCATATTGTTCAGCTTTATTACAAGCTTCAACTTAGTCACATGGGCTCGACCTTTGCTCTCAGGGCCTCGCCTCGTATTGTACAGCCTTATCACAAGCTTCAACTTAGTCATAAGGGCTCGATTTTTGCTCCAAGGGCCTTACCTCGTATTGGTCAGCCTTCTCCCGAGCTTTAATTTAATCATAGGGGCTCAACTTTTGCTCTAAGGGCCTCGCCATATTCAGCCTTATCATAAGCTTCGACATCAACAAAGAGGCTCGCCATTTACTCCAGGGTATCGTCTCGTACTATTCAGCCTTAACACAAGCTTCAACTCCATCAGAGAGACTCCTCACTACCACTTCAACTCGAAAGTTCATTCATTATATGTACAATCATACCTGGACTTTAGGGACTATTGTTAAGCCTTGCAAAACTAGGACCCTCACGTGGTCTCAATTAACCTACATAGCGAACGGTTCAGGGGGCCCACTCCTTATACATTGACATGGGGTGACCTAACTACACATAGACGACCCCGCTTCAAATGTGAACGACCTGCTTACCCCCGTATAGAAAAACTGGATCGACCTCATTACACGCGACCCCATTGTAAAAGTCGGTCTAGGACGAGGTAGTGACAAGATTTTGAGCAGATCTTGTGCCACGTGATTGACAAGATAACTTAGGCAGTCGCAAACCTATTTGGTCAAGTCCATACGCAAGCTAAAGCCTATATTTTCTCATTTACAAACCTATTTAGCATCTTACATCTGCCCATGTTCCTAAGAATTATTGTGCTTGTGGTTAGTTGTAGGTAAATATTATTTCCTTTGCATTTTCTAAAGCCTATATTTTCTCATTTACAAACCTGGAGTGTCAATGACTTTCAATCTCCGGCTATCTTCCATTAACAATGTCTTCAGTTCACTAGTACGGGTAACAAAAGAACATTTAAAAATCGACCTGAATAGTTTTCCGTTGAAGGATGCTGATCCCCGTAGCAATTTTTCCATTACCAGTTCTTCCGACTAAAACTATTGATATTAGATGACATCAATAATTGGCTACATGTTGAAAACTATTCAATAGACCCTCTACGTAGAGCATCCCATGCAGAACCGTCTACCATGACAAGACCCTCTACTTGAGTAATGGGTCGTCTACTGTTACTAGGCCATGTCGAATTATCGACCACTACGAAGCCCTCTACGTTCATTATGAGACTATCTACCACTACGGGGCCAACACAACACTTAACCATAAAAACAGTCATGACTTGGGTAGGAACCGTATAACGGTTATCATGGACACGGCCAACCGCGGATAGGTGGATGTCATCCACTTATAACGTGGGGGTGGTGAGCGATGCTACGTGGGACACGTGGTACAATAACCACCCTATAGTTACATGGCTCAAGTCACCTATAAATACTTCTAAGGTGAGACGGTATGTATCTAAAAAATTTCAGCCATCTGAATTCACATTTTATCTTTCCCTCTAAGTTTACATTCACAAATCATTTGCTAATTTTCACGCCGGAGGTACATGGGGGAGAAAGCCCCAACTTCATTTTGTAAGGTAATATTTGTTTATCAGAGTAGCATAAACATCTTGCGCCTCGAGGAGGGCACGGAGGTTTGTTTCATAACAATTTCAACTATAGTTCGAACTTTATCTAAAGGCCAACTAAAACAAGATTCATCAATTATTGCACTTTTTTCTAACTTAAAATTATCTGTTAAACAATCCACAAATTTCAAAAAAAAAAAAAAGGCGTTTGTAGAGAAAATATTCAAATGCTGCAAGAATAGGGAAGCAGAGTAGCATATTACTAGTGTGCACATATATACATCAAGGTATGAAGCTAGCTAGTACTCTTGTCAAAGATTGATCATACAATAATTTATTTAACTTTGTTCAAGATTAATGTTCGATAACATCGTTAGAATCACGACTCGTTAATTCATGTATGAATATCAAGAATTGATTCTTATAATAGAAATTTTCATTGTTTTGAAGCTACTAAGAGTCCGTTTCGCATGACATTTAAAAAGTTAAAATGAGCTTTTAAGACCCAAAAGCTACTTATAAACCCGTTTGGCTAATTTTATAAAAGTACTTCTTGTAATTAGAAGAGTTTTTAGAGGAATTTGATCCAATGTGACTTTTTCTAAAAGCATTTTCAATTTAAAAAATGCATTTAAAATTAGTTTTCAAATAAAAATTAAAGTAATACACAAGTGTCATTATGTCATAATTGTCATTAGCTGGTGAAAAAATGACACTTGTGCATTATATCACTTAAGGTGTACACCTGAATGTACAAGAAGAATAATTCATAGTACATATTACAATTGTGCTATATATGGGTAATGGTTTACATATATATAATATGGTGAAGTATGATTACGTCATAGTTTATTCAACAACAAAAAAAGAAATCCCCTCTTTTTGACATCTTATCCGTATATAAACAATTATGTAACCTCATTATGTACAAGTAAAATTATTCTACATATTAAGCCCGCTTGACATAGCTTTTTTAAGATGAAAATGACAAAATGCACTATTTCCTAGTTACTATACAAGTGCAACATCCTATATCCTGATTAGCAAATAGTGATAAATTAAATATGCAACGCTAGAAATTTTCTAGTTTTGTTATTTGTACATTCAGGGTTCCCACCTAGGATGACAGCCCCCTCACAAGGGGTGGCCGAGCGAAATAAAAAATAAATCACGGGCCCCCTCTTGTGAGGGAGCTGTCATCAGCGTTTCACTGATGTACATATAGCAAAACTCAATTTTTAATCCTACAAAATGTTGCTTTTTCTTTCCTAAATTTTGCATGCTACACAATGACCGTTGACAGAGCAAAGTGACATTTAGAATTTATAATATCTGTTCTTGCTTTTTGAAGCACCATGCATGAATTTTCAGAGCATGTTTCTTTTGATCTAGTCTTTTCTTCTACTTTGTACGTATTATGATTTTGAGATGTAGGAATATGAATTATTTTAAATGTGCTTTTTGTTATGAAACGTATATTTTTTAAAAAAAAATTGTCTTTCGTGCTCGACGGTCGTGCTACATGATTAATTCCACGGCTCACTCACCTAAAGATTCACACTCAGAGGGTGTTTAGTAGAGATTAAAATCGGATTAAAATTGAAAAACTAGCCGTTATTGTTAATTTTTATTAAATGAGTGGGACCCAATAACGACTATATTTTCAATTTTAATTGGATTTTGAGCCGTACCAAACAGACCCTCAATATTAACATATAAATGTCGAATAAGAACTTCACGAAAAACTCATGAAACTTTAGTATCCTCGACCTCAACAGAATGAATGTAAAAGTAGAGCACGGGAATGCATCACTTCAAAATTTGCAAGCTATGTAGTTCTCCCGAATAATATAAACATCAACCTTATAATCTCAATCGCTATCACAAAATAGAACATTTGCCACTGACAGCTTGCTTTCGCAGCTCCTCAGTCTCCCTCTGAGCTCTCTCTAGATGTTCTCTCAGCTGTCGTATTTCATCATCAGATTTCACCTGAGCAGCTTGTGCATTAGCTTCTGCCTTCAAGCGAGCAGCTTGCTCTTCGGCCAATTGCTGTTCAAGCCTTTGAGTGGTCTCCTTAAGCTTTGACTCAACCTAAAACAATATTGTCCACACAAAGCAAAACAAATGTTCCATAAGTACCCATCATAAACGTAAGTTCCGTAATGTAAACAAACTTGTAGCATGGAACGTAATCCTGTCTTGCCAGTTCCAGGAGTGAAGAAACATATTACACAAAAGATTAGCTATTTTCCATTGACTGACTTGCAATTCATTAATGAACTGTTTACTTCAAGGATATGCTTTTAGTTTGAACTGTTTACTCCAAAGGGAAAAATCATTTTACAAGTCATATGAGGTAACAGTTGGGTTTCCTTCATGTCAATAGCAGTAAACTTAAGGTGTAATCATATTTTTAGGATTAATTGTATCAGAAATTTAGACCGATAAGTTGAAAAATAATAGAACAAGTAAGCAGGCACCAAGGGAAAAACATAAAATACCATCTCAGTTATTCTCTTAAGGTGCTCTTCATATGATTTATTAAACTGCTGCTTCAACACTGATATCTCCTGTTCGGAGTACCCCTCCGAGGAATTAACTTCTGCAGTTTGATCATGCAGTTTCATGGCTCCCTTCTGTTAATAATAAAGTTGGCATCACAAACTTTAGTATATGTTTTTAGATTAACTGAAAAAGGTCATCCACAAAAACACTCACCTTCAATTCAACAAACAGCTTATCTGTGTATGGTTTTCCATCATTTTTATCTACAACTTCATTTACAAGGGAAAGAAGTATATCCAACTGTGCAGATTTCTGGGACTCATCCTTTGTCTTGTTATTAAAGAGGACATACCTATCTCCGCACATTTCAAGAGTGTCCTATATCAAGATAGAAACAATTAATTTCAGAAGGTACGTCCAATTAAATATGGGGAAAAGGAAATACAGAGACAACTGCTGCTTAATTTAAGATCACCACGTGAATAAGAACTAAATAAATAAAACAAACTTTTTTTTTTAACTTAAAGGCTTGCAATGAATGAATAGTATGTTCTTCCACTGAACACGCATCAGCCCTATCCAGCAGTCCAGGAAATAGCTGAAGTAAAAGCATGCCTAATCCCATTCCTCAAAATCTTAATTAAACGGGCCAGTTGTTCCCATGCCATCCATTAAGCTCGAAATTGTTTAAAAACATACAATAAGAAGTGGCCCAAAATAATGCAACATAGAGGAGGGGGAATTTGCAAAATAAAATTATGAGGAAAAGATAATCAGCTAGTTATTTGATTGAATAAGGCCCTCATTTAAATCAAGGTTCATTTGATGCAAGTGAACTAAAAGAAGGAAAATAAAATGCAGATACCACCAAATGACCCACACTGTTATAGTTTTTCATTTAACCAATAGAGGCAAGGCACAAAGCCACAGTTACTAAATCAATTAGTAAGACAGAAATTAGTTATTAGTAGAAAATTAGTAAGCTGCAGAAGCAAAGATAATTTCTTCGTTAACTTGCTGTTCTATGTAAGCTCATTTACAAGAGTTTGAGTAAATATCAGAGATGTAAAAATATATAAGAGCATCACACAACACATATGATAAACAATACTTCCAGCCTACCTTCAAAGGCTCTGGGCAGTCACGACCCAAGTAATCCTCCAAAGTTTCATCATTTTCTTCCAGGTCATCTCCACCAGTGAAAACTACTATCATATAGTCACTAATTTTGCTACCAAAGAATTTCCGCAAGCTCTGAACAGCAGCTTCTTCTTCTCTTGAAAATCTAGATCTGACAGACAGAACTACGAGAACAGCATGGATACCATCCTTCGCCATATTTATGCATTTAACAATTTCTTTCCCAATAAATTCTGGTTCAGCAGAAAAATCAAACAATCCTGCATTTTTGTCGAGATAAAACGTTTATTAAAGTTATAAAACAGATGTACAGAGAATAGATCATAGAATTTTATATCTCGCCTTTTTCGTCAAGAACATTATTTTCATTTCATACAATCAGTCAACCTTATTTCAATTGCATTTCAAAAGTCTTCTTTCTTCTGCATTGACTTACAGGACCTTGTTTTCCTTTACTTTCAAATTGAGATTTATCAAAAAGAAAGGTATAACCATATAGCCCCTATATTATCCTCTACATATAAATATGACTAGTTGTTTATGATATCAGTATTGTATACCAGGAGTGTCGATGACACTCAGCATCTTGCCATCTTGCAACACAGTTGTCTGCAGCTCACAAGTACTAGTAACACCAGCAGAGCTAGACATAGACTTGAATGCCTTCTTTCCAAGAATGCTATTGCCAGTTGCACTTTTTCCATTGCCAGTACGTCCAACCAAAACTACAGTACAAACTTCATTTGAAGGTGAAGTGAACTCCCAATCATCACTGATAGTAGCACTTCCACCCATTTTTTGGAATCAAATTATCTGTCAAAAGACCACAGATATACAAATTCAGGAAGACATGTAGTAGAAAATACTCTCATGTTACTAAACTAAAACTAAAACAAAAGCAATATATCAGAGGAAATCTTCACCAGAAGGAAAAGAGGATTCGCCAATTTACCTTGTTTTGGCGAAGTCACTGGATACACAGGAAACATCACATCACTGCCTTCAGAAATGGAAAGAAATAATACGAGATGCAGGGATTTAAAGAGAAACAAATAATTGCATATTTTAAATGTATTTTCAAATGTGTGCAAGCGTCATTACTAACATGCCTAAAGACCGGAACAATGCAATTTTAGGGTGGTCAGTGACCTACACATGTTCACAAATAACCACTTCAGCAACATTCAGACATTATAAAATTATCGATCTTCTGAAAAAAAATATATATATCTTTTCAACACGTATACTCCATCGAACCTCATTATTAGTTGTATATAACTAACCACATGTCATTTATTTCCTTTATCCATATAAATTTCAAATATAACATTTTCGATCAAAGCATGAAGCTAGGAGCCCAACTCCAAGATTAAAGAAAAAAACTTAGCATCAACATAAGCCCCTTTATTATTCATTCAACTAGTAAAGGCATAAATTCCGAGTAGAGTATCCTACAGTTGTCGGTCCTCAAATCTGCAATATTCCAGCAATTCATGCAGTTTTATCCCACCAATTTTCTTTTTCCTGCCTAAAATTTACATTTTGCCTAGTCCAATAATAGTAGAACAGAATTTCAGAAATATTGGTATTTAATTATGAAGCTGAGCCCTGTTGCACAAGCTTCTTTTCCTATGGACTCAATGTTATACTTTACCATAATTAAAAAGAAAGAGAATCACTTTTTGTTCTAGATTACTACTGATACATATCATAAACACTAAAAATCTAAAACATTAAAATCAAAAATTAAAGTAACAAACTAAAATATTAATTTTGTTAAGTAAAAGAATAATCCAACCAGAGACGTCAAACATAACAAGCACTATACACATACACGATAAAGAAACTAAAATTCTGAAGAGTATTATTACAAATCAACAGATCGCGATCGTATGGGTAAGCAGAAAACTGGTAAAAAAAAAAAAAAAACGATTACTGATCTTACCGATTGAAGAAAGGGATGAAAGTAGAACAGCGGAGAAGCAACAACGGGAGAGAAAGGGGATGACTTTGCATGCAAGACTTGGGAGACATTTGGATAAAGAAATTAGAATAATTATATATTGCAAAATAGAAGATAAATATCAGTTTTGGGCATCGCCTTGGATTTTTTTTTTTTTTTTTGGACCATAAA